GAAGATATTGAACAGTGCAGGCCCAAGGACTGAGCCCTGTGGGACCCCACTTCCCACGTCCTTCCAGGTCGAGAAGGACCCATCCACTACCACTCTCTGGGTGCGACTCTCTAACCAGTTGGCGACCCATTGGACTGTATGGGTGTCTGCGCCACAGTCCCCCAGCTTCCTAATGAGTTGTAAGTTCTGTCGTTGGCTTGGATACTGTACCTGGAGAGAGGCATTTTAGTCTTCTTTGCCTCACTTCTTACTTTGAAATATACTGATATAAAAATACTATGTAAGAATTGATTGTTCAACTAAACTCTAACTATTGCAGCATTAAAGTTCCTGAAGAGTGAGGTTAGCAGGGGTGGGCAAAATATGGCCAGAAGCCAATTCTGGCCTGCCAGGGAATTTTGTTTGGCTTGCAGTGGGTCCCTCGGCCCTGCCTGGCCTAGGTGCAGGGTTCAGCCTGGGTTGCGGCTCATGTGACCGGTCCTGCCACCCCCAGGAATGCAGTGGGCTTGGGGTGGCATGGTAGCCAAACTTGCCTCTTGGCAACCCTTCCAGCTGCTGCTGCTAGCTTCTGCTGCCCAGGCACTCCAGTCCATCCACCCTGCACTCATTGCTGGGAGTGTTGGAGAGAGTGGGTGGGAGGGGTCTCCATGGAGACTGGTTTGGGACCTACATAGGCAGGGAATGCTTGGTCAGGAGGATGGGATGGTGTCACGGGGGGCAGGAGTAGCATCTCGGGGGGTGGGCCCAGGGCAGAGCCACAATCTGCTGCCCGCACATCCCTGTGATAGGCTCTAGTTCCATGGGCAGGAGATTGTGTGGAGTGGATCATGGCTCTGCCCTAGGCCCTGGCCACGTGTTATCCCCACCCATAATTCCAGCCCTGGCCCTAACCATGCTGCTCCTGAATGCTGCTCCCCACTCTCCTGCAGCCCCATGCCATCCTTTTGGCTGGGTGCCCTGACTGTGCAGGTTCTGGCTGATCTCCAGAAAGACCCCAGGATCACTGGGCCATGACAGTGCAGGGCCAGGGAGGGGCATAGCCATGATCTGTTCCCTGCAGGGCCCTGCCTGAGGACCTCTGCCTGTTGCAGGGGTGTGCAGGGAGTGGATTGTGACTCTGTACCAGGACCTGGCCCCACAGTCTTAATCCCAACCCTGGCCCTGCCCCCAGATACTGCTCCCCACCCACCTTCGGCCCCATCCTAGCTGCCTGTCTGTGTGTGGGGCAGAGCCACTTAAGGAGTTTTGGTGAGCTGTTACAAGTGTGAGGGGTGCTGACCTGGCCTGCAACACCTTGTCAAAACTCCCTAAGTGGCCCTCCGGCCCAAATAATTGCCCACCCCTGGGTTAGTGATAGTACAGGAAATATACAAAAGGCAAGTTGTATTTTGTTTTTTTGGCAATATGTTTTATTGGGAATATGTTTTATTGACCAACTGTAGAGTTTGGGGAGAGGTTAGATAAGCTTTTGGGCATGCTGTGCTCTTTCAGTCTGGTTCAATGAAAGATATTAAAAAAACAAAACCTTGCTTCTTGAGAAGTGAGGCACTTACCCAGAAAAGCTGTCCTGGGCCATCTTATAACCACAGTAGGGGTACTGTTTGATTAGAAAAGATTGGTACTTAGCTTCCATCTCAAACTTTGTTTTCT